TGAATTTCCTATAGGTGAAATTCAATTGCACATATGTTGTTTCCATATGTTCAAATTAATGGCTCATGATGTTGATCATAATTACCAGAATGACGAAGTAAGGCGTCATATCAAACAAATCATAGCCTCAGCATATAATATAAATGATTGGGAAATCACTAATTCTGAAAATAAAACTGAATCTTTCAACGTAGCTCATCAAAATTTATTCAGAATTTCCTGTTTTTTGGACCATTCTACTGAAGAGCTTAAAGAGGAACAACTGACTCAATTTTGATATTGATATCCTAGAAAATTATTAATCTTCCCAATATTGTCAATATTTCAAACAAATTTGTCTAACTTGCACCTTGACTTCTGATAATGATTGCAATAAAAACGAATACAAAAATGCGGAAATTTTCGAATTCTTCTTGAAACACTATATGCCTTTTACTCCACCATTCTTTCAACAAATAGAGAAAGACTAAGTAATACCCCAGTAGAACGATGGTTTGGTATTGTTAAAAATATACTTGCAAAGGGAATTATGGGTCAGAGGAGCAGTAGAATCGTAAGGAAGCTCAGAAAATGCATTTTATTCATTCTGAAAGAAATCAAATTCAATATTCCCAGAACAAAATGTTGCAAAATGTATCTTGAAGAAATTGATGATAAAGGACTTGCTTCTCAAGAAACGAGTAATAAGAAAGGCAAGGTGCTAAACAATAAATTTTTTGGAACATCACCCAAACATGCACTCAAAATTTTTCTCTCTCAGTCAACTACTGTTACTGATCCAAATTTATGCATTTATTGTAAAAGAGGTGAATTGGAGTTTGAAGCTGATTGGGTACAATGTGATAAATGCAATAGGTGGGTACATGTAATGTGTATTGAAAGCTTTGATACTAGTTTCAGTGGTCATTTATTCTGCAAATTTTGTGAAGGAAGTAATATAGGTTATCAAGTATTATCAACAGACAATTTGCATCTTGGAGAAGACTCACCAATCATATATGATTTTACGAAGTACTCTTTCACCTGTAATTCATATTTCGATAAATATTTCAGAAGGTGAAATAGCTCTTATTGAATTACAGACAAAGGATCAAAGACTCTCCCATATTTGGTTTCAGGAACGGCGAATACGTGTAACTGCATCCAATTTTGGTAGTGTTCTCAAAAGTAAAAGTGACAATAGTTTGATCAGCACCTTGAACCGCATGTTGAATCAGAGAACCATAAATTCTCATGTAATAAGACACGGTATAAATCATGAGAAAACAGCTATTGCAGAATATGAAGGAATAACTAACAGGAAGTGCGAAAATTCTGGTTTAAAGATACACAAATTATACAAATTCATTAGTGAATCACCAGATGGAATAGTTTCGAATGATGGTATGATTGAGGTTAACCTCTCAACAGCTCATGTTCCTCATTAGGAACGCTGAAAATAGATGCCTATAAATGTTTTTTTTTTTTTCAATAAACCACTGTTCCTATACGGGAACAATGAATTCTATGCTCAGAACCAATATATGGTGCCATCTATGTACATTTACTAGAGATAAAAGCAGCAGCGGCATCATAACCTCTCATTCTTGACGTATGCTGTTGTTGATAGCGTGTTTTGTTAATTTCCAGACGATATTGGACAAAAACGAAAATACAGGTATGTGAGTAGGTCATATAATATCAGTTACAAGCATAATTCACTATTAAATCACTTCATTTTACTTATCAAACTGAATATTTTCCAATGTTCCAAAACAGGAACAATGGTCAATAGGTTGGAAATTTATGTTGTTCCTAATGTGGAACAATGGGCATTCAGCGTAAAATGCACCTTCAATGAAATATTTGTTTGTTAGTGAAAAATGGCTCATATACCAAGCGGTAGTGAAGATAAAAACATGAGTGACTGTGATGACGAGTATCTACCAACGAGACGAACATCTAAGGACACAATGTCTAGTGATAGCGAATCTGAAGATGATGAACCGGGACCATCATCTAAGGACGCACTGTCTAGTGATAGCGAATCTGAAGATGATGTACCACTTAACAGACTAGCTGCCACAGGAAAGAAAAAATACAAGTGGACAAGGAAAACAATTTGCTCGTTCCAGATTTCATCAGATGTTTTTTACAAGTGACCCTTATCGCTCATAACGGAACAGAGTAACCTTTATGCTTGTCAGGTTGATGTCAACAAACCTCTGAATCTATCACAAGCAGAATTAGAGACTTTCCTTGGGATTGTCATATATGTCCATTTTTGGTTTACCAAGACATCGTCTGTATTGGAGTACTACATGCAGAATACCACAAGTATCAGATTCAATGTCTAGGAAAAGGTGGGAGGAAATGATAACGCAAACCTCCCGAATGACCGAAACGATGTGAATAGAGACAAATTATTCAAGGTAAAGCCAAACAATCATTTTCGGGCCAAGAAAAACCTCAAATGCTCTGTATTGATGATCAAATTGTGCCCTTTAAATGGAAATCTTCTCTAAAACAATGTAACGCGAAGAAGCTAAATGAATGGGGTTACAAGGTATTTATTTTATGTGACAGTGATGGCCTTATACGTAGTTTTGAAGTGTATACAGGAAATATACTGACAGCACCTGGAAAAGAAGATATAGGAGCAAGTGGAAATATTGTGCTTTGCCTAGCAAGTGTTATTCGTCACCATGCAAATCATTTGTTGTTTTTTGACAACTGGTTCACCTCGATGAAACTTCTCTCCAACCATTAAAAAGATGGAATTTACTGTTTGGGCACTGTTAGAAAAGATAGAATCCACGGTCTGGTATTCACCAACGACAGGGATATTAAAAAGAAAGGCAGAGGCACATATGAGGAATATGAAGCTATGGTAGATGAGGAAAATATATTTGCTTCGAAATGGTTTAACAACAAAAGCGTTTGTTTGACAAGCACCTTTTGCGGATCCCAGCCAATCGATATTGTCCAACGATTTGATCGTTAAACCAAAGCCCATACAATCGATTCATGAGTGGAGTCGATTTGTTGGATGACCTCATTTCTTACTACAGAATAGGACTGAGAAGCCGTAAATGGTATCTAATAATATCTTCCCATTTTATCGACCTGAAAATTGTCACAGCGTGGTTACGCTATAGGGCCGATATGCTAAAAAAAATAAAAAATATATTGGATTCGCTTGGATTTCGTGCTGAGATAACAGAAGACCTCTGTCATCTTGAAAAATGTGGCGACAATGTGAGTAAAAGAGGAAGGCCATCAAATGATGGTATCGAAAAAAAATTCGAAGAGAAAAAGAAGAGGAGTCAAACAAAGCCCATACCCTAATTTGACGTTAGCACGGACAAAATAGCACACTTTCCATGTGAAAAGGAAGAGAGGCAACGATGCAAGACGCCTGGTTGTGGATTGTGGTTGTGGTACCTTTATTGCACCAACTGTAATGTTTACTTATGCCTAACTAAGAAAAGGGATTGTTTTGTTGCATTCCATATGTAATTTGATTGTTCCAAAATAGGAACATTGAGTTTATTTTTCTCCTGATGAAAAATTTTGAATTATTGACTGAGTGAAATGTTTTAACAATCATTCGCACTCTGTTAAAAAAAAATTGCGCATCTCTTTCTGAATGTGGACCTTAAGAGGTTTCAAATGCTCATATTCAAGAAGAAATATACATTCCAATGAAGCATGCGCGCAAGGACTAATTGAATGTTATTATAAGGATACGGAAAACATTCGTAAATCTCATATTTATTATTTTCAAGTTCAAGGTCTTCTTGAAATCACCGACAGAGATTGGTGCGATTTTGTGATTTGGACATTCACAGGAATTGAAGTAATAGAGATAGAATATACTGGAACGGATTGTTACCGAAATTAAGTACATTTTTTTATTCCATAATGTTGCCTAGTATTTCTGGAGTGTCATCTACTCCTAAATTCATAAAATGGAAAACCGAAAAAGATCTGTCAATTCTGTCAAATGGCTTAGTCTCCGATCCAGCCTACTATGGAGAGATTAGACGAAGATACTATATATCGTATTTTAGAAAATTCAATTGCGATGTTACTGAGATATCTAATGAAGACTTCACTATACTATCAGAGAAACTTTGGCTGACTTATTTTATTGTAGATATATGTCTGAATATATTCATCTCCACAAATCACAATTTTCAAATTGTAACTTGTATGCTTTCCACAAAAAGTTTTTTGTATGGCACTGGAGAAAAACACCCTTCACTGGTCAACTCCAGTTTCGAAAAACACCTCGTTGTATTCCCTATCATTCAGAACTATTCTGATACTTCGGACCGTTCTATCGGCAATTGGCGATATAAAACTTAAGAAATTAATTTTTATGAACCCATTCAGGAGTGGAATAGTGGAACGTCTAAATATCTCAAATACTTCATAAAATCTTTGAATAACTATAATGAGATGAAAAATTGTCATTTAGATATATCAAATTGGTCTATTGAAATCAAGGATCATGATAAACAATCCGATCGTTACAATTGTGGGGTGTTTATAATTTATTCCTTTGATAAAATTTCTGAGAGAAATCGAATTCAATATTCAAAGAAGATCTGCCAATTCTGTCAAATGGCTTAGTCTCCGATCCAGCCTACTATGAGGTGCGTTTCAAAATAGCGTACGACGTGCAACCATTCAGAGTGAATCGTTTCAATATAAGTGCAAGTAGTACGGCAATTGTACATGATCGTTTCAATATTCTCCGGAATGCACGTCCGAATGTTACCAATTTACCCTACTCAAATAGGTTGGTAGATTATCCCCGACATGCGCAGTTATCTTGTCAGTGCATTTTATGTTTGTGTTTCAAGTTTCAATAAAGGTTTTGTTTCCACGAATTGATTAATATAGCCACCTTAATCGAGGTGAATTGCATAACAATCCTAATTTGTCAGTAATCCTAATTTGTCAGTATGTCTCATTCGACCATTACCATTTCTACCAAAACACATCGTCTTTGTATGGATGGACCTAATATCATAACTAATGGAGATGGAAATGTTCTGCTAGAAAATATTAAAGGTAACCAATACTGTGTTTGAGGCCATAGAGAAACAGTTGTAATTATATTATCCTAATTTTTCAGATACGAGTCTCATCTATGTTGACTGGCAGATAGCCAATGAAGTATTTGGGATCACATTTGAAGAAAACATCAACAATGAAGCTGGACCTACAGAATTAGAAATATTGGAATCAGAGACAGAAACAACAAACCCAGAGCTTGAGAATGAAAATTCCCTAATATCACAAAGTGATGACAATTTCCGTGTAATGTGGACAAGAAAAGAAATTCTGCAACTAATCAGTTCTTACAAAAAAAATCTGAACCTTTTCAAATCATCAACCATGAGGAGGGACAAGATTTGGAAATTGATATCTACAGATATAAAGACACATAGTTCAGATCAATGCCAAAACAAATTCAAGTACCTGAAGTCAAAATACATTAAAAAAAAGAACAATATGTCTTCAAAGAAAAGTGGGGCCAAATCAATGAATTTCGAGTTTTTTGAGGAGTTTGATGATATGTTTAGGAATCATCCAAATGTTGAGCCTTCATTTACAGCATCATCCCAAAAAGGTAATTGCAAGTCTGAGAAGTATTTGAAATTTCACCATTCTCTTTTGATTCCAATAATTATAAATTGGATTTGATGATTTCAGGAAATAGTAGTACTGCAATTGATACTGTTGTAACTGAAGAAAATGAACCTAGGTCAAGAATTACAGACAAAGATGAAAGAGCTGAGAATGAAAATTCAGTAAAGGTTACAAAGAAAGAGGTTAAGAAAGATATGAAACAAATACTTGCTGAATATAATGAAAATTTGGCTATAAAAGAAGCTGCTAAACAGAAGCGCCATGAAGAAAACATTCAATTAAAAAAAGAGGCACTTGATACATTCAAGTCATGTATTGAGAAATTACTGAATGGTAATAAAATGGATTGAGTGCATCAGCTTAATTTTTACATTGTGAGATGAAGAATCAATATTAAGTTTATTTTGTTATTTTTCTAGTTTTGTTTTCTTGAGTTTATTTTTTATCACAATACATTTGTGACTGTGTTACCGCATTGTGGAGATATAAATAAAGAAAAAAATACATATTTTGGTAATTTTATTCATAGATCACAAATTATTTAAGTATTCATTATAAAGTGAATGAGCCATTCTATCACGAAAATGGTCAGCACCTGGTACTCTCTGGCCAATGTCATGACCAATATTATGTTCTTGACCATCTCTTTCTTCACCACCATCATTTACATATACTTCAATGAGTTCATTTTGGTCCATTAAACAAATATTGTGCAGTACACAACATGCTAAAATAGTTTTGGGAATCATATCCATCCTAGTCATGTCTAGCATATCTTTGAGTCTTCTAAACCTACCAACAAGTAAAGCAAATGATCTTTCAACAACTTGTCTTGTTTTAGCATGGCATTTGTTGAAATATATCTGTGCAGGTGTTAAGGTGCCCCGATCAATATAGGGGGGAATGCACCACTTGTGTAGGGGATATGCTTTATCACCTATAATGAATTCATTTTCTTCAAAATAGTTATTAGTGTTCTGCAAAAACCCCTGATAAATTGGAGAATTACGAAATACTCTGATATCACTCACAGAACTTGGGTATCCTGTGAAACAATCTATAAATTTTAGATTTGGAAGTGATATAGCTTGGAGTGTTATGGCATGGAAACATTTTCTATTTATATATTGCTGGGGTTGTTCTTGGGGAGCTTTTATTGACATGTATTTTCCATCAATTGCTCCTATAACACCCTCGACTCCTGCAAATGCTCTGAACCTATTTTTTATGGCATTTCTTTCCCCATGATCAGGCCACTTTATAATTTCATGTGCAATTTCATTCAGTGCATTCACTACCCTAACAAAACACCAGTACAAAGAGGCTTTTCCCAGGTTAAATCTGCTACCCACACTTCTGAAATTATGAATATCGAGAATAGTCATAAATGATGTTATGGCAATCTACTTTTAATGACAAGAACTAAACATGGAGATACATAACATACCTATAACTTTCTGGAGTGCTGAGTAACCAAATTACAGACAAAACTTGCTTCTTACAGTCTATTTGTTCTCGTCCTCTGCCAAATTTTTTGATAAGTTTATGTCCTATTATTCCCATTAATCTGTTGAATGATGCCCTTGTCATTCGAAAATGAGATTGGAATTGGCAGTCTGTATATGTGGGAACTATCAATTCGAAGTAGTTGGGAATTCTGGAGTAATCTTTCTCTCGATTTTTGATTTTGGTTCTGATCAGCATGTTATGAACTTCTTCCTCATCTGAGGACGACGAACTGCTATCGTTATTGAAAAATATATCTTGTAAAAATAACCAGCTTCCTAACATAGATCTCTCCATTTTGTGAAAAAAAAACAAAATTGAAATTGAACGTTGGGCTAGTATTTTAAAAATAAACCACAGACTCAAAAACTGTTGACAAAAGATTGAGGTTATTATTTGATGGTTCGTCGGGTTCGGGTAGTCGACAGTCGTTTCGAAAACCGTTCTCGATATGGAACGGAACTGTTTTACCCGACGACATAATTTTCAACCGTTACCGGACGAGGAGTGTTATTTTGAAACGCACCTATGGAGAGATTGGACGAATATACTATATATCGTATTTTTCAAAATTCAATTGCGATGTAACTGAGATATTTTATGAAGACTTAACTATATCATCAGGGAAACTTCGGCTGAGTAATTTTGTTGTAGATATATGTCTGAATATATTTCACTCCACAAATCACAATTTCCAGATTGTAACTTGTATGCTTTCCACAAGAATTTTTTTCTATAGCACTGGATAAAAGCACCTTTCACTGGTCAACTCCACTTTCGAAAAATGCCTCGTATTCCCTATGATTCAGAACTATTCTGATACTTCGGACCGTTCTATCGGCAATTGGCGATATGAAACTTAAGACATTCATTTTTATGAACCCATTCAGGAGTGAAAAAGAGAAACGTCTAAATAACTTGAATACTTCATTAAATCTTTAAATAACTATAATAAGATGGAAAATTGTCATTTAGATATATCAAATTGGTCTATTGAAATCAAGGATCATGATAAACAATCTGATCGATTCAATTGTGGGGTGTTTATAATTTATTTCTTTGATAAAATTTCTGAAAGAAATCGAATTCAATATTCCCAAAAGATCTGTCAATTTTGTCAAATGGCTTAGTCTCCGATCCAGCCTACTATGGAGAGATTGGACGAAGATACTATATATCGTATTTTTCAAAATTCAATTGCGATGTAACTGAGATATTTTATGAAGACTTAACTATATCATCAGGGAAACTTCGGCTGTTATTTTGTTGTAGATATATGTCTGAATATATTTCACTCCACAAATCACAATTTTCAGATTGTAACTTGTATGCTTTCCACAAGAATTTATTTCTATAGCACTGGAGAAAAGCACCTTTCACTGGTCGACTCCACTTTCGGAAAATGCCTCGTATTCCCTATGATTCAGAACTATTCTGATACTTCGGACCGTTCTATCGGCAATTGGCGATATGAAACTTTAAGACATTCATTTTTATGAACCCATTCAGGAGTGAAAAAGTGAAACGTCTAAATAACTTGAATACTTCATTAAATCTTTAAATAACTATAATAAGATGAAAAATTGTCATTTAGATATATCAAATTGGTCTATTGAAATCAAGGATCATGGTAAACAATCTGATCGATTCAATTGTGGGGTGTTTATAATTTATTTCTTTGATAAAATTTCAAATGGAGAAAGTGTGAGTAGTAATAGAATAGAATAGAATTTATTGAGTACCAACAGCATGTTATTACAGTGAACTATAATAATTGTGTGTGGTACAAGTCAAATATACACAGGTTATGGGAGACAGCACAGAAAATACCTTTCAGAATTGTAAATACAAAGTGTCGTTTTTGGTTGCCCAGGCTATTTCAGCAGAATAGGGTTGTGGTCCTTTGGACTGCCTTGCCAGTTTCTGATTTGTTTTATTGTGTCAAGCAAGGGATTTTGAAATTACTTAGTGACTGGACGCCAGAATTTTTTGTTTACTGAATAGGATAAAAATTCAAAGTTCCTATGAATCAAAAAAAGATAAATTTCCTTCCTACAATGGAACAATAAAACAATTACTCAATGTATATACAATTTACTAAATTATATGAGCAATATACATAGGTTGATGAATGATTAATTTATACAAGATTGCATGAGTGTTCTCATATGTGATGAATGAATGTTGTCAAGTATAAATGATAAGCCAAGATAACAATTATAACTCAAATTCTAGCATATTTTCTGCTATAACAAAAGAAACAACTCTATAGTGTCGCTGCTGAATCTGTTGGTGTTATGTTTGGAGAATACCTTGGTTGCTGGAGTTTTCCCAAAACTAGGAACCTGGATCTATCGTGACTCCTTAGGAATATTATGTAGTCAGCTTGACATACACCAACCAGACTTCAAATGCTCGACCTCAACTCAGGAACGTGGATAATTCAGGATCGTCGTAGTTGTTGTTAATAGCATGAAAAACCATCAAGAATATTAGATTTCTGATAAAATTTTGTTGTTATCGAAAAACAACTTGGCTTTATTCTTTGACAAACCTATATGATGATATGCTGATGTAAAAAAACAATGTTGAAGAAAGAAATGTTAAAGACAATAGAGGCTGATTATTTTAAGATACTGAAAATCACTCTTTAGCATGCAAGCCAAAATTAAATGAGTGATCCAATAAATGTTTGGATTAACAATTTTAATCAGCTCTAAGTTTGAAGTGAATCTATGAATTGATAAGCTGAATTGATGATCTTATTTCTAAATGATACAATAATTATTCTTAATCAACACGTGTTGTCAGCTACTTATTCATTCCTGAATTTCATGAAATGACAATCAAATTGATTCTGAAATCGACAGGTATAATGTAGATATCAAATATTTAAATTCCCAATATTTGAAGTAAACTAAATATATTTCAAGAGGAAAGATTCATATGGTTGCTACAAGAAGTTACTCAATGAATTTCAAGATAAAGGATTATTCAATGAATTTCTAAGATAACAGATCAACTTATTATCTCAAATAATAGATCTGTCAGTGGCTTCAAGTAAAAGATATCACTCAGTGTACGTGGTATGATTCCTAGGTATGATTTTGACTACTTACTGGTCAAATGAGTCTTCACAAAATCTTCCAAAATGTATAAAAGATATAATTCATTAAAAAGCTTGAATATTTTCAATGGCACAGTAGCAAGATACTATAAGATAATGAAGATGAATATGTCCTTAATGTGGACACATGATCAATACTATGATTGATCACAAAAGATAAGTTGAGATAAGTTAAGATGAGTTAAGTTAAGATATATATTTATCTCAGATAGACAATTTTGAGATAGATATTTCTATACAGGAAAATATATCAAATTTTGATCTTCCTTTTATTGGAAACCTGGTGATCTTGAAAACAGATTCAGGTGAGTTGAAATGCACACATTCAAATTTATTCATATAGAAAATAACATGTGTTTTCGGTACTCACCTGAACTGATTCCATCGATGATTTCCAGGCCACCAATTGATTAGACTGGTTTCCAGTAAAATTCTTACTAAACGTGTAAGTATATCAACTCTGACTTCCTTGCTGTACAATTAATTTGTAAATTTCTTGGATTTGTACAGGGTTTGAAGACCAAGTGCTGTGAAAACGAAAACGCAGTCAATTCTTGAAGATCAACATTTGTAGTCATCAAAAAACGATGAACACATCAATCTGCTACGCCACTGGATATTCGAGCAATGCTTCCTCCTAGGAAATTAACATTAATCGAAAATTCAAAATGATCACAACGATAATCGAAGATAGAACCTTTGAAAAATGTTTGAACA